TTTTTTTTTTTTTTTAAATAAATTTATTTATTTATGGCTGCATTGGGTCTTGATTGCTGTGCGCAGGCTTTCTCTAGTTGCAGTGAGCGGGGGCTACTCTGTTGTAGTGTGCAGGCTTCTCACTGTGGTGGCTTCTCTTGTTGCGGAGCACGGGCTCTAGGTGTGCAGGCTTCAGTAGTTGTGGCACGTGGGCTCAGTAGTTGTGACGCACAGGCTTAGTTGCTCCGGGGCACGTGGGATCTTCCTGGACCAGGGCTCGAACCCGTGTCCCCTTCATTGGCAGGTGGATTCTTAACCACTGCGCCACCAGGGAAGTCCTAGTTCTGTAATTCTAAAATTTATTTGGAATAATAAATATGTGAAAATACCAGGAAATTTTGTACGAGAAAATTGTGATGTAACTTCTTACTAGATGTTAAAATTTATCATAAGCAGTGAGAATAATGAAAATGAGATATAATACAGAATTGATAAAGGTCCGTCCACATGCAGGACATATTAGTGAGTACTTGAATTTCGTCATTTAATCCACCTAACAATCCTGTGAGATAGGTACAATTATTATTTCCCTTCCTCAGATGAGGAATTAAAACTCAGAAGTAACTTGCTCAAAGTCACAGAGCTAGCAAGCAAGGGACCCTGGCAAATGGACCAAACCTAGGTCTGTCTTATTCTGTCACTTAGAAATGATAAAAATTGAGCATAGCACAGTGAAAAGTAGAGATTCCAGAGTTAAACCTATTTTTCTAATTATCCATATTGTGTGTTTGCTTAGAAAAAACATCTAGAAAGATATACAAAAATAATAAGTACTTTTGAGTGGCAGAATTCTTGTGATTTTTCAGTTTTAATACCTGTATATTTTTAAGTTATCTGAATTTTTTTTTTGGTAATCTGTTACTTTTATCAAGGGAGAATAAAACTTTCCATTTTCTAATGCAAATATTCACTGTTACTGTCCCTAATAAAGGGAGACCTTCTTAATAATTCTTCATAAGATCTACTTATGATTTATGTTCTAAATGATAGGTGTCTTATTTTTATGGTAAGACTTGATCCTTAATTTCTTCTGACTGCCAACAAATAGATGCTAGTAAACTTTGAGAAATTTTGAGGAAAATAATCTTATACTAAAGAAAGATACATTGGGACAGCTTTTCTTGCAGTAGGATAACAATGAGCTTTTTAACCATTTGAATTATTTTAAGACCTTCTTAATGAGTCTCATGTTTTAAGTACACAATCCCACACTATTCCCTAAGTGACAAATGCTAACATCATGTGAGCATTTGGTTATTCTGTGTCACTTTCTTTAATTTTCATTTAATGTTTGTCTTCATGTGTTTCTTTTCCAGATAACAGTAAGCATGAATTACGTTATTGGAACCCATGGATGGCTGCCTTATGACAGAAACATTTCTAATTACTTTACATTCATCAGGGATCAAACTGTGACAAATCCAAAGTAAGTAAGTGAACATTTAAAGCAAAACAGGTACAGCTAGTACCTTATTGCCAGGAAAAGCAAATAGATTAAACTTTCCAACTTCCAGCTTTCCTAATCCTGGCATACCCTTACCTTGTCTACTTTGGGGCTGTTTACAGAATTGACAGTCTTACTAAATTGGCTTTGAAAGTCAAGATTTAAATCTTTTCCACACCTTCACCAATCTCAACTTCTTTACACTTAACCCTTGAGACTATTTTGTTACATGTATTTTTGTTTAATGATAATATAAGATTAATGTAGTTTATGAATGTATTTATCACTTATTAATAGACATTTCAAAATGAACAGTTGGACAGACTCGTTTTTTATTTCTTTTTGGAGAGATTAAAAAAACAGTTCATATCGGTCTAAGTGATCTTTTAAAGAAGAGTCTAATATTTAATTGTGTTTACAGAACTCAGCGTAGTATGAATGGACCTTTTGCTCCAGGGCTGGAGATAACTTCTAAGCTATTTATAGTATCACATGATGCGAAGTTGCTTTTTAGTGCTGGACACTGGGATAATAGCATTCAAGTGATGTCACTTACAAAAGGCAAAATTGTTTCACACAACATCAGACATATGGGTAAGCATTAACTTTTTTTCCCTGTAAAAAATTTTTCCTGTTTTTTTCCTAACCATAATAGTAGTACATACTCCTTATAAAAAGCATAAATTTTACCTTTGAAGCTAAGTGAACTTTTTGATAGAGTTGTGTTATGAATATTATATTCTTTCTTTAAGAGTGTCTAATGTATTTTGGTTATACTAAGCACTATATAAATTAAATACAGCTTCATAGTATCTGAAAGATGCTAGGCTACGTCTGAAAAAATTGGTTGCTAGAATTAGAATTTTATGAAAAAATGGTAAAAAAAAATCTGTCATAGTTGAATAAGAAATCAACTGTCCTATTCTTTAGTAGTAAAGCATGAGAGAGGTAAAATTGTTGAATATAGTTTAACCAGATGCTTCTTTTTTTTTTTAACCTTTATCTATCTATCTATCTACTTATTTATTTTGGGCTGTGTTGGGTCTTAGTTGCAGCACATGGGATCTTTTGTTGCAGCACGCAGGCTCTTCATTGTGGCGCGCAGGCTTCTCTGTAGTTGTGGCGCGCAGGCTCCAGAGTGTGTGGGCTCTCTAGTTGCTGCGCATGGGCTTAGTTGCCCCGCAGCATGTGGTATCCTAGTTCCCCGACCAGGGATCGAACCCAGGTCCCCAACATTGAAAGGTGGATTTTTAACCACTGGACCACCGGGGAAGTCCCTAACCTGGTGTTCTTAGTGTCTCAGTCTTTTCAATGTAAGAATAAAACACTGAGTAGATTTTTTCCTAATAAACCCATTAGGGAAGGGGAATGGAGTCTGTTACTAATCCTGTGCCAGTGACTCCCAAGGTGTCACTTAGCTCAGGTTTTTACAGTTTAGGAAAAATGTATTTTATATTGTGAATTTACAGTGTAATATGTACTATTTTGGCTACAGACACATATTCTATAGGATTGCAGTTCCAGGGGGAATAGAAGGTGAATGGGGATGAGAGAGTAAGGGAGCAGAGAAGCATATCAAAATTAACTGGGGATCCATTTAAAAGCTACCTAATCTCCTGCCAAGATTTTTGACAGGCATTCCCTTGCCTCATGTCTACTCTTCACCATCAAAGAAGGGTGGCCTCAAAGAAAGCTCTCCTACATGATTTTAGTGCTGCTCCTTTTTTATGTCAGTCTTTCCCAGTGCTTTTCCAATGCCATTCCTACATTTCTCCCTGCTAGAACAACTAATTTAGTAATAGTTTGAACATGACCTAAAATTGCCCTTATGATTCTGTTTCAGCCAAACTATGCCATTTCATTTTTTTACATTCCTTTTTCTTACAGATATTGTGACTTGTTTAGCTACAGATTACTGTGGAATACATTTGATATCTGGTTCCAGAGATACTACATGTATGGTATGGCAGATAACCCAACAGGTAGTCACTCCTTTAAATACTCTTGGTTTAGATCAGAGATTCACCCTGGGAATACTATTGAGATGTTCTAATAGAATACTGAATTTTTCTCTTACATTGAATGATTATTTGAGCTCCTTTGCCTCCTTTTACCCCTCATTCTGTTCTGTCTTAATCACCACTTTTTTCCCTAGGTTTATTGTTTGATTCCTGACCTTATCTCATATTACCTTCCAAAGATAGCTCCTTATTAACTTCTTCTAGGAAAACAATTATTTTTCTTGTCTTTGTTAACATGATGATATTCCTATTTTCCTTTCAGGTGGAACTACTAGAAATTATAGATTTAGAATTTTCATCAACCTTATTGTGTACTCTCATGCTAATGTTGGTGCAAGGAAGTGTCTTTTTTCTTTATGGCTTCTGGATTTTCTACCTTGCTTAGAAAAATAAACAGGCGTTTTCTCACTCCAAGTTTATAAAAATATCATCTAAAATAGTTCTTGTAACACTTTTCTTATTTTATTTTTAAAATTTCAATCTTTAATCCATTTCTATATTTTGTAATACAGAATATTTAATATTAGATATATAATTATGTAGAAAGTCATTTATGCCAGCATAAACGATTACCTACTAAATTGGATCTTTTTCTGTATTCCCCATTCTTTTACATTTATCTATTTTTGTGTCAACACCAAAATGTTTTTACTTTAGTAGTTTAATATTTGGTAAGGCAAATCCCCTCTCACTGTGTTTCCTTTATTAACCACAGCTATTCTTATATGAATATTTATTCTTCTGTATGAACTTTAAAAATACTTTAACTATATCCTCAGAAAACTTCATTTTAGTCTTAATGAAATCATATTTATATATTTATTTGGTATGGATTGACATGTTTATAGTTATTCCTATCCAAAAATAGGAAATGTCTTTCCATATTTGTTTCAGGTGTTTTTTCAATGTCCTTTGATAATTTTTTTTTTTTTTTTTTTTTTCGGTACGCGGGCCTCTCACTATTGTGGCCTGTCCCGTCGCGGAGCACAGGCTCCAGACACGCAGGCTCAGCGGCCGTGGCTCACGGGCCCAGCTGCTCCGTGGCATGTGGGATCTTCCCGGACCAGGGCAAGAACCCGTGTCCCCTGCATCGGCAGGCAGACTCTCAACCACTGTGTCACCAGGGAAGCCCTGATAATATTTTTTAATAATTTTTTTCCATTTAGATCCTATACTTTGTTATATTTACTTTTAATTATCCTATTTTTATGACAGTTTCAGTGGGATTTTTAAATCATTTTTATTTGTAACTGACTATTGCTAGTAAAAAAAAGCTATTGATTTCTATACAGTTATCTTATATCTAATTAGTTTACCAAATCCTCTTATCTAGCTCTCATAATTATTAGTATTTCTTGGATTTTCTGAAAACAAGGTAGATATACATTAATGTGATCTGAAAATAATAGTGATTTTCTTTATCTTTTCCAACATACTAATTATTTCATTTTCTTACCCTCTTACATTATTAGCAAATATAATAAAGCAAGAAAATTATAGTGAGCCTCCGTGTCTTATGTCTGATTTTGATGAAATTACCTTCATTATTGTGCCATTTAGTATACTGTTTGCTGTTAGGTTTCACTAGGTTTTTTTAAATTTATTTTATTTCAGTAGTTATATTCCTTCCTTTTTTTTTTTTTTTTTTTGGTAGGCTTTTAGTTTTAATAAAATTTCAATTTACAGAAAAGATACAAAGGTAGCACATTTTTGCCATTTGTCTTAGCATTCTCTCCCAATCTTTTTCTCAGTATCTTTTTTTTTCTGAATACTTTAAAAGTTGGAAACTCTATGTTCCTTTACCCCTAAACACTTCAGTGTTTTTTCTAAGAACAAAGACATTCTTATACATAGCCACAGTGCAGTTATCAAAACTGAAATACTTAACATTTATACAATATCATTATCTAATCCACAGTCCAGGTTCTAATTTTGTCAGTAGTCCTAATAATGTTCTTTACAGCTATTTTCCCAGTTTCTTTTCCTTTTTTAATTTATAGTTTTACTTTTTCTTAATGTAATATGTTGAGAAGTGTCCTAGGTTTGAACCATCCTTGAATTTCTATAATAAACACATATAATTCATGAGATATAGTTATATTTTACTGCAGGATTTTATTTGCTAGTACTTTAGTTACTTCTTTACTTATAAGTGAAATAAATCTGTTTTTATTTTGTCTTTGCATGTTTACTATTCAGATATGCAACCTTTATAAAATGAATTTGAGAAGAGTCCATCTTCCTCTGTAACTTGAATTGATTAAATAATATAGGAATTACTTAATATTTAAAAATTAGATAGAGTAGACTAAGCACTCAGACTGATACTCTTAGAGGAAGGCAAATGTGACCCAAGTGATAGAGTGTCAGGGAGAATTCATTTACATTGTATAATGCTCGTAGAAGGTCTGGGCATTTATCTATGATAATCATAAACCAAATACCATGGGAACTACTCAAACATTCTATCATTATATATCATAGAAAGTACTGTATCAAACAAAGCACACTAAAAACAGATGAAGGAAACAAGTGCAGAGAGATTCCCTGCAATAAATTGTGCTATTAGAAGAACATAATAAGAATATCATTCAATAAAATAGGACCTCAAAGATGAAATTATAAACTAACATAATAAGATGAAAAGGGAGATTGCAGAAGAATCAAGCTGAGACTAAAACCAGTACCATTACAATTATAAATAAACCCAATGCAGAAGCATCAAGGAACAAATTTGATGTGACTGAAAATCAAATTATTAGCATGGAAGAAAGATTTAAAGTAAAGTGAATAGAAATGAAAAAACAAAAGGATTAAAGCAATTAGAAAAAGAATGATAGCTATAGAAATCAAAGACAAGTCAGCGTAAAGATAATTGATGTCCTTGAAATAAGGACTCCAATAAATGAAAAAGAGAAAGTATTCAGAGATGTAATAGAAGAAGTTTCTTTCAGGTAAAGGAAGAATAATTCTGCAGATGAAAAGGGCAAATAATATACCTGTTAAAACTAATCCAAATCAATCAACTTTGAAATTCTTCAGATTAAGTTTTTGAGCTTGAAAAGATTGAGAATAATTTGAGAATCCAAGGAGAAACCCAAGAATGAGTACTTGTATGAGTAGACTTAGTGGTAAGAACTAGTGCAATGTCAGTTTGTGATTAGACAGTTTAAATACAGTATAAACCTTTTTAAAGAAAATAGCGTACAAGGAAATTACCTTTGCTTTTCTGTTTTTATATTAGGGAGGTGTTCCTGTGGGCCTAGCATCTAAACCGTTTCAGATTCTGTACGGACACACTGATGAGGTATTGAGTGTTGGCATAAGCACTGAGCTAGACATGGCAGTGTCAGGATCAAGGGTAAGATTTCACCTTTAAAAATACTGATTTCTTTTTACAAATTCAGAGGCAATATTTATATTTAATTTTTTTTCTAGAAGAATTGGTAAAAGCATAGAAATTTTATACTGTGTTTGTCTTGAACTTTGCAAAAGTAGAAAAATACAGTAAAAAAGAGACTAGGTTCTATTTGGAGATTTTACTGGTCTTAGTAGTTAAGACTTGAAATTTCAAGATTGGAATTTTTCCTAAGGTACATGTGTCCTTGGTAGAATAATCATTTCCTTAGTTCCTTTACCATATTTCTTTCTCTTGCTCAGTTTCTTTTCTTCTTTTTTCTTTTCTTTTCTCATTTTATAATATTTTCTGTGTGTAGGATGGCACTGTGATTATACATACCATTCAGAAAGGTCAGTATATGCGGACTTTACGACCACCTTGTGAGAGTTCTCTGCTCTTGACCATTCCCAATTTGGCTATATCTTGGGAAGGACATATTGTCATCTACTCCAGCATTGAAGAAAGTACCACCCTCAAGGTATATAACAGTTTCATGCAGTAGGGCTAGACTATCTATAAGCCTGTCTTCTCCTTTGCACATTGTGTACATATGAGGAGGCATTCTGAAGAAGAACACCATATTTTGAAAAGGATGTTTTCCTTTCATCATTCAATTTGTTCATTCCCTATCACAATATTAGCCTCATGTTTGATTTTGTTTTAGGGCTTTCTATAGCCCTATATGACTTCAAAAATAATTTCTGATTATGTGGGACTTCATAAGCTTAGGTGGAAATTACAACTGAATTAAATGCTTTTAAATGCTTTTTGCACAAGACAGGGTATAAATAAACTAGCTGTGAATTTTATGTTTATTTCCTTTCAGTGATAAAGCTTTTTAAAAAATTAAGAGAACTTTTTTTTTGTTTTCAATTTTATTTATTTATTTATTTATGGCTGTGTTGGGTCTTTGTTTCTGTGCGTGGGCTTTCTCTAGTTGTGGCAAGCGGGGGCCACTCTTCATCAGGGTGCGCAGGCCTCTCACTATGGCGGCCTCTTTTGTTGTGGAGCATAGGCTCCAGACGCGCAGGCTCAGTAATTGTGGCTCACGGGCCCAGTTACTCCGCGGCATGTGGGATCTTCCCAGACCAGGGCTCGTACCCGTGTCCCCTGCATTGGCAGGCAGACTCTCAACCACTGTGCCACCAGGGAAGCCCAGAGAACTTTTTTAGTTTTGTTTTAAGAATGTGGGTTTTGTTGGATGAGAGTTTTAATTCTTTTGGAGGGGTGAGATTTTTAATTCTATTAAAGAAGAGGAGTACTTGTTTAATATTTATTTACTTAGCAATCTGATTGAAATCACTTTAACAATATTTCTGGGCTTCCCTGGTGGCGCAGTGGTTGGGAGTCCGCCTGCCGATGCAGGGGACACGGGTTCGTGCCCCGGTCCGCGAAGATCCCACATGCCGCAGAGCAGCTAGGCCCGGGAGCCATGGCCGCTGAGCCTGCATGTCCGGAGCCTGTGCTCCGCAACGGGAGAGGCTACAACAGTGAGAGGCCTGCGTACCGCAAAAAACAAAACAAAACAAACCCACAATATTTCTACCTACTTTCTCTTTAAGTATAACCATTTGTTTATTCCAAAATTTTAAACCCAGTCATCATTCTGTGATAGTCATAGTTTTAATTTGAGATCATTAAATTTTCTTCAACTAATCTTTGCAGGATAAGAATGCATTGCATTTGTTTTCTGTAAATGGCAAGTATCTACGGTCTCAAGTCCTGAAGGAACAAGTATCAGATATATGTGTAATTGGAGAGCACATTGTCACAGGCAGCTTACAAGGATTCCTGTCCATAAGAGATCTCCACAGGTAAATAATAAGAATTATTAAAGTATCACTTCGGAAAAGATGGTAGTATTTTCAGCCCAGAGAGAGTAAAATCTGTAATCTAAGATTTCTGATCGCTTTTTTTTTTTTTTGATGTTGGGGGTAGGAGTTTATTAATTAATTAATTTATTTTTGCTGTGTTGGGTCTTCATTTCTGTGTGAGGGCTTTCTAGTTGTGGCAAGCAGGGGCCACTCTTGATCACGGTGCACGGGCCTCTCACTATCGCGGCCTCTCTTGTTGCGGAGCACAGGCTCCAGACACGCAGGCTCAGTAGTTGTGGCTCACAGGCCTAGTCGCTCCACGGCATGTGGGATCCTCCCAGACCAGGGCTCGAACCCGTGTCCCCTGCATTAGCAGGCAGATTCTCAACCACTGCGCCACCAGGGAAGCCCAGATTTCTAATCTTTTTGTTCATCATTTATTATGAGCATGTCTTTTTTGGCAACTATGAAAAAAATTGGGGAAGATGAAGTATTTCTGGGTTGGTAATGAAATATAGATGTACATTTTAAAAATGCAGAAAATTTTATGTTGTGTACATTTTACCACAATTAAAACAATTTTTTTTAAGTAGCCAGAAAAAATTTTTTTCATAGTGCCAAGCCTGGATTATGGATTTGGAAATTTGTACAATTATAGTTTGAATTTTTAGAAACTAAAGTTAGGTTTGAAAAAATGTTTTTAATTGTGCTAAAATAAAGTATTTTTAAGGCTAGCACATCTGTTCTTGATTTTTTATGTCTGTGTTTAAAATCGGTGAGGGGTCTTTTGTTATTTCACCCAGTGAAGGAAAAGATGTTTGAAAAATGGATGTTTTTAAGTTTGGTATTCTTCATGTTTACGAACTTATATACACAAAGCACTGTTATTCCCTGCATGCCCAAATACATTTTTTTCTTTTCTTCTCATTTAAAAAACTTACTGTGACATATTTATACTCCTCAAAGTATCTTGGCCCCTCCCAAAGCCCTTTTTTTCTGAATCATTTCCTGATCCAGAGTGTTCTCTTATTACATTCATATCAGAATCACTTCTGTACCAACATCGCTTCCCTGTTTTTTTATTTTTCTTCTCATTTTTGTCATTCTTTCTCATGTGGTAGAGCACTGAGTCCACATTTCAGTAACGTCTTTCCAATATTTTGTATTACAACCCTAATCTTAGGGTATTGTTAAGAGAATCCCAAATTAGAAAAAAATTAATGGAATCTTCTGGCAGGTTAGTCTAGACCATAGTATGTACATCCTAAGATTCTTCATTCTCTAATCATAAAAGCTGTGAGCATTTTTCATAATGGGGTGTTATATTTTATACCATATTATATTTTAAAATATTTTATATTGTATATCGCATCTTTTAAGACAAAGCAAATATACCAATTTTATTTACCTTATCCCCCACCAACACACACTTTTTGAGCTTTTGCCCTTTTTATCCAACTTTTGCTCATTAATCAACAAGGTGAAGATCATTTTGTGAGAGCACATATATATGGTTAGAAGACAAACAGATGTTGGAAATACAAAAAAAAATCTGTTAAGTATTTTAAGTAATGCTATAAATATGGGCCTTTGTGTCACTCAGGTTTTCGGAACCTAAGTTCCCACATCTGTAAAATTAGAATGCAGAGTTAGATGATCATTAAGTTATCTTTCAGGTATAAAATTCTGTGAATCCATTGTATATCCATGTAATTATGTGTGTGTGTTTTATTTCTCTTCTAGTTTGAATCTCAGCATCAACCCATTAGCCATGCGATCGCCTATCCACTGTGTTTATGTAACCAAAGAATATAGCCATATTCTTGTAGGATTAGAAGATGGTAAATTGATTGTCGTGGGTGTTGGCAAGCCAGCTGAGGTAAAACCTAGCATCAAGAATTTAGTTTCCCGTACTGTTGGGGATTCCTTTGGTTCTTTATTCCAGCTGAATCAGAAGTCTCCATCATGAATAAACAAATTGAAAAACAAATTTGATTTTTCAAACTACAGTAAATGAAAGGGGATAAAACTAGTATTCAAGAATGATGTTTATATTATGATATTATTGAAATCACACATTTAACAGTTTATAACTATATGAAGAAGAAAGTTCTTTTATTCTCTTTTTCCAAATCTAGATTTTAGACCACATACTTGAATTTTTAATACATAAAAGCATTTGTAAAAAATGAAATATAGACTCAAACAACAAAACTACTTACCTTATTATTATTATTTTGTTAATTTGCCCATGGTGCGCAGCTTGCGGGATCTTAGTTCCCCGACCAGGGATCAAACCTGGGCCCAGGCAGTGAAAGCACTGAGTCCTAACCACTGGACTGCCAGGGAATTCCCCAAACTATATACTTAACTTTAATTTCAACAAATATTCAGCATGATTGTATGTCAGTTGTACTTTTGTAAAAGCATCATTTTTTTTTAACTTGGAACTACAAATATCCCCATATAAATGTGCTAATTCTCAATGAATTTCCTGTAGTTCCTATAAATTTATTTGCCAGTGGCTTATTAATTACTGAATATTCAGATATAAATGTAACACTGTTCCTTAGAAAACTAAGTGGCTATACTCCAAGTAATCTAGTGATTCTTCTAGAAAATTTATTTTGTTACACAGACTCATATTTAAGCATTATAAATTATTGCTATCATTGGTCTTTTCTGATAAGTCTAAAATGACCTCTGTAGGGGTTATTTCAGGAGAAGACATTACTGAATAACATACTGTCAGTAGTTATAATAAATCTATTACAGATCATAGGAACCTTTTTTTTAATAAATATTTAAAGATTTTGTTAGTCCTTATACTCTTTTTCAGGATATTATTTTAACAAGAGAGGTCTTATTAAATTAAAGTGATTGGGACTTCCCTGGTGGTCCAGTGGTTAAGACTTCGCCTTCCAGTGTAGGGGTGTGGGTTCGATCCCTGGTCGGGGAACTAAGATCCCATGTGCCTCCTGGGCAAAAAACAAAACATAAAACAGAAGCAGTATTGTGACAAATTCAATAAAGACTTTAAAAAAATGGTCCACATCAAAAATTCTTAAAAAGGGCTTCCCTGGTGACACAATGGTTCAGAGTCCGCCTGCCGATGCAGGGGACACAGTTTCATGCCCCGGTCTGGGAAGATCCCACATGCCGCAGAGCAGCGAGGCCCATGAGCCATGGCCGCTGAGCCTGCACGTCCGGAGCCTGTGCTCCGCAATGGGAGAGGCCACAACAGTGAGAGGCCTGCGTACGGCAAAAAAAAAAAATCTTAAAAAAAATAAAGTGATTGCCACAACATTTAGTTTCAGGTGTAATGATTCCCCAAATAATGTCAGCAAGTCTGTATCTCGATATTTCACTTACATTTAAAATATTTTAAGCGTTTTTACATTCAGTAGTAGAGTTTCTTGATTAATATATTTCCCAAGGAAAGATTTCCCTTCTGTCCTCTGCTGTGATGATTACTTGAGAACTCTGCTTAGACATTACTCTTTGAGCATGTTTCACTTTGTATGGTTTACTCAAGTGCCTTTAAATTTGCCTGCCCTCCAACTTAGGTAATTTGTTAAGTTTACAGTTTTACTGAATTAAAAAAAAGTGAAATGACGTTATGTGCACACATTTAAAAAAAATTGATTGGAAAAAAAATACCTAAGTAGCTTCATTTCATAGGCCTAAATCAGTGTTTTGTAATATTTACCAAATAAGTTTTTGGTCCTCACTGAAAGATTTATGTGTAGTCTACAACACATGGCATTTGAATTGTGTATAGATTTTGAATAAAAGTATTTTTTAGGGCTTCCCTGGTGGCGCAGTGCTTGAGAGTCCGCCTGCCGATGCAGGGGACGCGGGTTCGTGCCCCGTTTCGGGAGGATCCCACATGCCGCGGAGCGGCTGGGCCCGTGAGCCATGGCCGCTGAGCCTGCGCGTCCGGAGCCTGTGCTCCGCAAATGGGAGAGGCCACAACAGTGAGAGGCCCGCATAACGCAAGGAAAAAAAAAAAAAAAAGTATTTTTTATTGATTTTATATCTTTGTAAAATACATTTTCCATCAGCTGAATTATGGACCTACTTTAGTAATAAAAAATCTAATTGAGTACTCAGAATTTTGCATAATTATTAAATACAACTTTATGTGAACGTGTAGAAATTAAATAGATCAATAGTTGTGAAAAGAGTTCTATTTCAAAATCTATTTTTATCTAAAATATCAAAATCTTGATTAATGTATATTTTTAAATCATGTATCAGTTTTTTTTGTTTTTGGCGATTTTTTTTGCGGTACGCGGGCCTCTCACTGTTGTGGCCTCTCCCGTTGCGGAGCACAGGCTCCGGACGCGCAGGCTCAGCGGCCAAAGCTCACAGGCCTAGCCGCTCCGTGGCATGTGGGATTTTCCCGGACCGGGACACAAACCCGTGTCCCCTGCATCGGCAGGCGGACTCTCAACCACTGCGCCACCAGGGAAGCCCCATGTATCAGTTTTACATATTACACTGTCAGTATAAAATCCATATTTATAAATTAGATGTTAAAGTGGAACTAGATTAATGGAAATAATGGTTTTGGAAATACATCTGGAAATGAAAATGCAAAGCAAACATGCCAAAGTGTCTTTGCTTGAGGCTTATCTTTTATCGCTCCAATAATGGACCCTAGAAAAGTACCATTAAAAAAGGGAAGCAGATGAAGCACCATTAAAAAGTAGATTGCTGGGGCTTCCCTGGTGATGCGGTGGTTGAGAGTCTGCCTGCCAATGAAGGGGACACGGGTTCGTGCCCCGGTCCAGGAAGATCCCACATGCCTTGGAGCGGCTGGGCCCGTGAGCCATGGCTGCTGAGCCTGCGCGTCCGGAACCTGTGCTCCGCAATGGGAGAGGCCACAGCAGTGAGAGGCCCGCGTACCGCAAAAGAAAAAAAAAGTAGATTGCTCTTGGGAAGTAATTCCAACAAATCATATGGTTAGATTGAGAAATGTTTCCCATGTGGAGTTTTATTGCCCTATGTAGAAGTATAAGCACTTTTAGAAGGGCATTATCCCACTGATTCAATTAATTTTGATTAATAATTGTTATATGCTGAGAAGTGTGCTAGGTGATAAAAAATTTAATGGTGGAAAAATATGATTCTTACCTTCAAAGAGCTTATGCTATTCTTATTTTCTAAATTACTTACCATGCTATTGTTAAAGATTTTTTTACATTCTTAGATCAAACTATTTAAAAGTTACTTCCTTTTCATCAAAGTGTTATTTTACTTTCTTCTTATCATTGTGATTGTCATTAATAGTACTGCAAATATAAGATGAGAAAGTTCCCCAAAACTATGTGTCTTGTTGCCTGATTATGTATAATTTGAGAAGATTATTTTAATGAAGTGAAATGTAGTTTTGTAAATATATAAAGTAAAGGAGTCTTGTAATTTTGATATGTGGCACATTTAATTTAAAAATTTGTACGTTGGTATTAAATCTTTCTCAACTAAAAGACAATCGATGAAGAAAACCCTTTCTTTAATTATTATTAATTAAGAATCATTAAAATGTTAATGATTCTGCTGACAAAACCTATTTCTTGTACATTCTACAGAATCATTGTCTTGTATATCAATTTCATTTATTTTTTATTTTTTTTCTTTCTTAATAACAACTCTTCTTCATTTTTCTGGATTACTTTAAACAGATGCGCTCAGGTCAGCTTTCTCGAAAATTGTGGGGATCTAGCAAGCGGCTCAGCCAGATTTCAGCTGGAGAGACTGAATATAATCCTCAAGATTCCAAGTGATTGTTATTTCTGCCGTCTGTCATGGATAACTGAAATTTGATTTATTGCTTTGTCACTTTAATCTGTGACAGATTAAATGTGACATTAAATCACTTTAATGTCACATCTCTCAACTATCTTAAATGTTTCAGGGCTGTTATCCCTGAAAATCGTTTAGGGGTTACCAAAATTTGGTATCGTATGTGTATAAAAGTCATAGCTTATATTATTATTATCCACTAAAAAAATTTCTGGTTAACATCACTGAATCTATCTTATTAACTAATTCTTGGTCTACACTAAGATGAATTTGAGAAAATACATTTGATTAGATTTAGTAGTTTATTTCTAAAGATCATTAGATCCATTTAAAAAAATAAACTTCTAAAAATAAGCTAAATTCAATTTGCTTATTCTAAACAGCAAAAGTTGAGGTGTTTCTAATAAAAGAGTAGCAATAATGGGACAGTTGAGAGATATGGCTTTTAATACATTCTTTAGTTAATCATTCTCCTATTTGCTGAATAAATCATCCTAAATATATCAATTTTATTATGGAACTTCTGATTGGAGGTAATATTTTAAAAGCATCTGTTGCATACTTGGATTTTTAAAACTCAGTGTAAATTACAGGTTTTCATGATAAGTTGAAAACAAAACTTTTGAAAGTGGTACATTGGCTCATCCCACTACTACTTAGCATAGTACTAATGAGAATTTATTGCAATGTGTTATTATCCTTAAATAATAAATGTTGAGTAGAAGTAAGAGAAACTAGAGACACATTTTGTGGATATATTTCATTAGTAGTAGAGTTAAGGAAAAATGCTCATTATGATTTTGACAGCTGGGTCCTTTAAGTAGCATCTGCAGCTCAATTTATATGTGCAAAGTACAAAATTTCTTGGCTTTTTCTTTATTAAACACTGTGTTTTTCCCCAATAATTATTGGAGTTGGCAATGATACCGAAATATATTACATTTTTACTTATTTCATATGATTGATGAATGAACCGAAAAGATATGCATAACTTAAACTAGTCATTTGGATATAGTAATTTTTTAAAATACACATTTCTATTTCATGTTATGTATAACTTTCAGGATTACAATTAATTTTATTACACATAGCTAGATGTTACATTATGCTTTTAAACTAAAAGGCTGATAGATTTAATTCAAGGAGATTGTTAAACTTTGTACTTTTATAAGGTCATATTTTGAGTTAGAAAGTTTTTATAACTACGAGTGTCCTTAATCCAAGATTCCACAGGTTGGGGGGAATTTATGAATCCCTTAAAATTGTGTGGAAATTCTATATGTTAGCTCCTTTTGTTTTTTTCGGGAATGAATGGTTGGGTGGCTTTATTAAAAGGGTCTGCGATTGGGGGAAAAAAAGACTTTTTACAACAATACCTTTTAAAAATAATAATATTCTTTTTTCTACAAATTATAGATTTCCTTATGTCCAATTGTCTTCTCAATTGAATCTTTGAGAAATTCTTCCTTCGTAGTCCTCTCCTGTTGCCCACAGTATCTAATACCCTTTTCTTTATAATCGTATGAGTGAGTACAAAATTTATGAGAAGTAAAGGATTTTGTTTAGGGAAACTTTTTGATAGATTTGATTGGCTTGTATTAGGACTTGTAAAAAGTTATAGAAGAATTTTCTTTCCAGTTATTTAAAATCCTCTGTTTTATTCAGTAAAAAACCGTTATGTTTTAGGTAAATCACACTGAAATAAACTGATGTAGCAAGTGTAAAGTAGAACATATGCAAATGTAAAGGTTTCCTTTTTGAGGACTTCAGTAACTAGTGGTGAAAATGTCTCAAAACAAGTCAGTAGAGATAATTATCATATATTAAGATTTATTTCTTCTGTTTTTTCATTCTATTTTCATTTTTTATCTTATATATTTTAGGAAGTTTCAAGTCAAGAGAAACAAAATGATGGGGTTTTCATATTTTAAATTTGATTTTTAAAAAACTGTTTCTAAATCAAAACTTTGGAAATGTTTCTTTTGCCTATTTATCTAGAGATTTTGGTATAAGGATGTTTATTTTTAAGGTCACTTAATATTGGTTTTGGAAGTTATTTTGGATGATTATAAGTTACAAAAATGTTTAACTTAGATTATTAGGGGAAAATTCCTAAATTTTTGGTATTTTACTTTGCTACTGTTTAGATGGAGGAGCTAAACAAGCAGTATTTATTTTATAGCACAAATATGAAGAAGCTTTTTTCACAGTAGATACCCTACCTAGAGTAATAGTAGATGTTCAGAGCAGTGGGGTTGACCCTTATATAATATTTTCCAAAAAGTGAAAACCAAAAATGTAAAATTTTGAGGAAAATCTTTGAGAATATTAGCAACAGTCTAGAAGAATGGAACTTAAAGTTTATTAATTAAGCAAATATAGTAGTAGCATTGGCTGAATAATTCCTCTTTTGAACAGTTTAGACCACTGATTAAAAGTCATTAGATAAAAATCACTGTGAAGATATACCTTGAGGGATTATGGTGTATTTACATGTTACCCATAGAAATTATTTCTGTATTGTTTAATGGGAGAAATGAACAGTATCATTAGAGTGCAGTAACAGGTGGACATTTCAGATGATGAATATAATATCTCAGCTGTTATATGAAGTGTGTTATCTTTGAAGAACTTTTCATCTGCTTTTGTTTCTTGACACTCGTGATAGAAATAAAAATATCAGCATCCTGATGATGTGGAGCAATTTATACTAAGGAGATGATTTTTTTTAGAAAGTGAGGTCAAGTATTAAAACATACAATAGAGATACTCATTTAGAGAATAAAGAAACTTTATAAGATTTTTTTTTCAACTCTTCCCAATCAGTATTCTGTCATTACTTAGATAAAATTGGAGGAGAGAAGAAAAAAGAGAGTAGGGCATGAATGAAGCTTGGCCAGTTGTTTAAAATCATATAAGCCCGTGAAGCTCATGTCATCTATGAATCAGTTTCTATTCGTTTCCTTTAGGTCGCAGTGCTTTTTCAGGTCACATCCTTTTGTAGGAGAGAAAATGCCAATTATTCATTTATCATTAACAAGGCTTCCTTCTTTCTCTATGTAAGGCTTCCTTCTTTCTCTATGTAAGGCTTCCTTCTTTCTCTGTGTAAGGCATATAAAAATTATCCTTCAAGAACTAGTATTGAAAATCAGTTTAACGCTTCTGAAGGAATAAGTGTGCCCTCATAATTAATTAGAATTTAGATTTGAAAGTTAAATTCTTACCGAAGATTTTTTTGTATTTTGCTTTAATAGGAGTAAGCAGAGGAAATTGTTAACTTAATACCCTATTTTTATTTAATGATGACACATGACACATGGCCTTTGCCTTTAAGTATATTTTATATTGCTATTACTAAAGAAATCACTAATGGAAGTCTTTTAATTGAATTTAAAGAGGTTAGCTCCTTTTATATATTTATATTTATAAAGTGAATAGCCTTGTCTTTATCACCTTTCCAATGAAAAGATGCAAATGCATGGACTATATATAAATATTATATAAATATTAAATAATATTATATAATATGTAATGTCCTGTGGGGGTGTGTATATATGAAGGTTGGTCTCTTAAAATACATCATTAAATATGTAATCCATAAATAAGTTCTTAAACCTGTCTTTAGGATATAGTTTTTGACTGATATAAGAAATGAAATACATTTTTTTTTCTCTAAATCTAATCTGTTGTTTTCCTTTATCAGGCAGACTCATAGCTTGTCCTAATTACTGTTTCTCTCTCAACGAAAACTGTTCTTTACCAGTAAGTGACCAGCCTTAAACATTTTTATCACTTTGAACAAATACTGTTCTCAGTATTCTTTTTGCCTAATTCATTTATCATGCGTACATCTGATTTGCTTTAAACTTGATCATCCAGAACATTGTTGTAGAGAGTTTTCCTATATCAGAGCCCTTGTTGTGTTTTTTCTGATGACATTAGGCAACAGTATAGTGTTATCAGTCATCATTGGCCACAACTTTACTTCTTTAATTTGAATCTAGCATTTTCAAGGCCATTGTTTCTTAACTGAGATTGTAGATCAGACTTCTCTGTGAAGTTTTATAAATATACAGAAGTTTAGGCGCTACTCTGGATACTCTGAATCTCTTTACTTGATATTCTTGGCATAAAAAATTGTCTCAGGGTTATTATATTAAATCTTAAAATATTTGAGGCTATAGAAATTATATCCATTCATTTTTATAAATCAGATCCAATATTCACAGGCTTATTTGAAAATAGGTTTAATCATTATCCTTGAAGACATTTTTTCTAAAATTTGCTTGGAATGGCTTTCTTATCTTTGTTTTGCATGCCGTGGAAACAACCAAATTTCCTTTTCAGTTTGCGTTATTCTTATCATAAACTCTCTTCAGACCTTTCACATTTGAAAATTATAAATAAAATTTGCCTCCAAAAAAGTGTTTGCTTGTATTAGTTCCTAGTGGCTATCAGTGAATATTTTGCATATCTGAGTTAGGTAACATTTTAAACTATTAATAAAAAACATGAGTAACAAAATGCTAGATTTAAAACATAGACTTAGATCTCTTACAGCATTGAAGCTATTAATCAGTAGTTTTCCTAATTAAAAGCATGGGATAAATTCCCTAAGCACTTCTGAGGACTTTTGTAGGTATAGCCTCTGTATGGAAATACTCTTTAAATTTTCATATGGAAAGTCTTAGTATTACAAAAAAATAAAGCATTAACATTTAAGATATTTAGGCCTGTACTGGAAATGATTCAAATTTTCTATATTAAAAATATAAGGTCATCTTAGATTATAGGAGTTATGCTTTTCTTCAGTATAAGAAGCTTGTGTAAAAGTGGCTGTCTTATCAGGTACTTTTCTGATACATTGTAGTAATTCATCAGATACATCTTCTTAGATTATCTCACTGACATTTGTCACATGTGGGTGATTTCTAAACACATTGTAGGATTTGGACCTATGAAGCTAATATGGCTTTAGTGA